GAGCCGTTGAGAGTCAGCATTGTGCGAGCCGGGGAACCAAATCTATTGGAAGAGCTTGGGTCATATTTGAAAATGAGTGAGAATCCTATTTTTACGAAAAATGAGTACTGTAAAAATCTGACAAAATCACAATTTGAGACAGAAAAACTGTTCATCTTAAATCATTATTTTCCTATTTTTAACAGCCACTAGACTATCGTCTCCTTTCATAATACAAGTGGACCCTTAATAGATACTGAAGTCCTTATCATATGAGCGATATGCTGCAGGTGATCGAGGTTGTGATAAATACAAGGAAAGAAGTCGTGGCGAGGATCGTTAGGAGCTAATAGTCATCTAACATCCTTCTCCATACCCTGACAAAATTGTGCGTATGGCCTTTGATCTATAGATAAACAAATAATATGTGGAAGAGGGAAAGAAGGTGGAGTAGGAGGAGGCTGGGAAGAAGTGTGAGAAAGAAGGTACTAAAAAGAAGCTATCTGCCACAATTCGCAAAAGTCTATGATTGACAACAACTGCAATGTTATGTTTTCAAAGAAAAAACAAAGACCTCTGATTCGACATCGGGAACCCGTTCCCAGTAAGTTGAAAAAGTCACCAAGCCTGGTTTTTCTTCTTGCCCGCAGACTTGAGTTAAGACGAGATCTCGTCTTCTATTATCCCTAAAGCATATTGTATCTAAATAAGTGATCTATTCAAAATTGTCGGAAGCTTACTTTATTGCTTTCAGTAGTTCACTGTATGTCATTGGTCCCGGCTTAATGAAAACGGGACCTGTGTACTTGTGCATAATGGCATAGTAATGTGTAGATCGTTGACGGATGAAGTATCCCATGGAGACGAGACGCCCACCAAAGTTCAACGAGATGGACAAGACATTGTCCACAAGAGACTCATTTCCTTGAAAAAAACTTTAAAACTGTCACTTAATGACGAGCGTGTTGCATCAGCAAAAAGGCTTATTGTTACATAGTTTAAAATGTTAGGGTTAGAATTATTGCTTCATGACGCTAGTAGGCTCGACATCTTGAGGCCTATAATAGTCTTTAAGCCCTCAAGAGCATCTTAAATTAGCATACAAAACCTAAGCCCCATTTTTCTCACACGAGAGTGTGAGAAAAATGAGAAAGATTAGCCAGAATTATGCGTTAAGCTGTTGAAATCCAAAAGAAAC